AGAAGGAAATGAGAAGGATTCAGATGCTTGTATTGGAGAGATAGCCAGACTAAGCAAAGGGGCAATTTGAACCCATTTTGGATCAGAATCAATGTGCTTAGAACCCTAGACTGCATTGTCTTCCACAAACAGTATTTCTCACCATTTTGAAGGTAATTTAGGCAGCTTTTAATACATGTACCTTGCTTGTTCTATGGAATCTAACATGTCTCTCTCTTTGAAGAATTATTATTTTTCACTTTTCCAATGGTACAGAGTTCATAAATGCATCTACAAACGTGTTTAGTATTGTTGGAATATATGCTCACTGGGGGAAATAGAGGGCTTAGTGCTTCTCCACTGAGAGTTAGAATATTACAGAGAGTACTTGGCCATCTCTGGAGGCAGTTTTTCACTTTCTAAATGAAGTGTAGAATTCCTACGGCTACTACTGGGTGAGATCAAAGAACCTGCTAAAATCCTCTCCCCGTCGCTGACCCACATTTCTACTCGCACCATCTCATAAGTATTTGGCTCAAAATATTAATGACAGTGTTGAAAACATGATTTAGAATAAAAGAAAACATGAAAAAAGACAACATTCTATAAAACAACTGCAAAACCTCAGTAAAGAGCAGCTTAACTGAAAGAAACAAAAAGCCATCTATTTTTATTATACTTATATGTAATACTTGAAAATACATGTGAGGGCTTAGCTAATGTGCACATCATGGTGTTTATACATACATACAAACATAGACATGCATACATTGCTGACACTTATGTGCATACATGCAAAGCCACATGCATATATCCACACATAAATACACATGTGTACAGATGCATACACTTATATTCACACATGAACACACGTACACACATGCAAACAAAACACTTTTATTGTATACTTGCATAATAACTAACCCTTTTGAAATTTTAAAATTAAAATCAGTTTCTTATTGTTGAATACAATAGCATACCAAATAGAACCAAGAGTTCAACCTCTTTGATGTTTTTTGGTAATTTGCCTAATTAAAAATAACTAGGCTCCCCAATGCATAATTACAGGAACACCTAGTACACTATACTTCCAGGCAGACCTTATTCACTCATAAATATGAGCCAGAAATATGAATGATCACTATACCGCTCCCTGCTGTATCTGTACTGTTTCTGAATCAAAGGTCTTTCCTGGGTTGGGTATTTTCACTACACTTTTCCTTGCTGTGCAATCATCTCCCAGTTGGACAGTTAATAAGTGGTTTTCCTCCCTAGTCCTTGATGTGCAACCTGCTTTACCCTGTATTTTCGCATGCACTATATACCTTCTTCACTCTGGCTGGTTTTGGCAGTGACCCACAATCTAAATCCCTTTTCCCCATTTGATATAAGTGAAACCATAATTATCTAGGGCTAATTTCAAATTACTACTTCATTCCACTCTCAACTGATGAAGATTAGTGGTCTTGCTTTGCATTTGAGAAAGTCAGCAACACAATCACAAGAGAACTCAGCGGGCAACATTTGATTCATGTGAACTCAATTACTTCTGTCAAACACATCCATTTCAATAAAAAGCAGAAACTTTCAAAATGGGCTTTTGCTAACCATTTTGTGCTAAAAAATCATACGACTCCTGGAGAAAAATTATATGAAATACGCAGGAAATAATAATAAATAACAGGTAAGGAAACACACATGGCTAAATGGAATTGGGTTAGAATTTTTTTCTGAAACCAAAGACCATTTCAAAGAAAGAATTTTGCATAGATACAGTAGTTAATTATAGAAATCTAAGGCATGTATTTCCGCATCACAAAACGAATTCATAGAACATTTTATATTAGTAAAATAAAAACTAGAATATTGTATTATTTGACCCAAAATAGATTATTACAGATAAAGCTGTCTGATACTTTACAGGAAGTTCAATGGGAACTTTCAATGGTGTGGATATAAAGAATCATGTATTACTGAACTGAACTTGTCCACTGAACCTATGCTCTGTTGTCCTTGGTGGTGAGACCATATTGTTACTTACTTGTTTAGCATTCTCAACCCTGAAATTCGATTTCTAAAAATCTTTAGGTCAATCCAATCATGCCTACAGGGGTAAAGGATGACACAAGCATGATTGACCAGATTTCCCAGGTCATCACCTGGAAAAATCTCACAAATATTCATGTATGATAATGTATTACAATACATATATTCAAATTCCAGCTTCTTGACATAATTACAACCTTAATTAAACCTTAACCTAATTTGGTGAGCAGAGAGACTGAGTAATTAAATGTCATTATGTAATAAGTCTACTTTATAAATATATTTCAATAGGCCAGCTTTGTGGCTTGACAAAATTGACTGAGATGGTGCCCACAGTGGTGAGCCCACGAAATGCTAATCATTTCAAAGCATGGAAATGGCTTTTTTCTTACTACTGAGAATTTTTTCTCAGACTCTTTTGGGCAAGACTTATTTTAGAAGATTAGTTTTGGAAGATTTATTAAATTTAATTTTGAACAGAACAAGAACATTTTCTGTATGTGAAGAGAAATGTAAAATAAATCAGCAATACAACATTTTTCACACCTTCGTACATTCTCTTCTCTCTTTGTTGACTCTACTCCCTTTTCTCTTGGTTTCCAATTTCTTTCTCAATTTGACTATATACCACTCCTGCCATAAGAAGTGAATAATGTAATGGTAATAGAGAGAGGAATTACATCACTACAAATTTCCGTGAAAAGGCAGTGTATAAGTAAATAAGAGTGAGCTTTGACCCAGTATTGATCAGTCATAACATCCCTCAAGAAAAGATACTGGAGTGTAGATCAGCAGGATGAGAATGTATTTTCTAGGAAGGTTGGAGACAGATGACTATTCAAGAGGGCAAGAGAAGAATTATAAAAGAACAAGTAATGCTATGAAAAAGGTTTTTGATAAACTGAACATAGCTGTGTGCTTAGCATGTAGAGCAGGGCAGTTAGCAAAGAGACAACATTAGATTTCTTACAGCTGGAGTTGTAAACAATTGCATGTGGCCATAGGGGAGTTGGGAATTGAACTTAGGTCCTGTGCAAGAGCATCTGTGTTTAATCACTCAGCCATAATAATATGGAATATTTTAAAGATTTTTTTTTTCATTTACAGCATGACCTTTCCAGTCCATCCCTCCTGTCACCCATTGTGGTCTCTACTCAATTATGAAGAGTATGAGGTGAGAAAGAAAAGAAGATTAGTGTTAAGTTCTCACAATAACACATATTTGATCAGACACATTGCTCCCTTGAGACATGATACTTTCAATGATAAGTGTCAATAGAATGCTTTCGTCTCATCAATTCAAATTTTATCCTAAGGGTTCAGAGTCTTCCTATACCCTCTTTTAATCTGAAAGGAAACAAATTTTGTAGTGGTCTAATTTAGCCTTCACTTACTCCCTAAAATCACATAAGTAATCAGTCAAGTAGATTGTTGCTTTAAAAGGATAACAAACAATATGAAGACATTATTAGTAAACTGTCTATTTACAATATTTAAAAATGAACTATAGCCAACATTAATTTACTAGCTGTTTCTATCATACATATATGACTTAACCATAAACTTTTGCAATTGTTCAAGAACAAAAGACAAGGTATTAGACCTTTCACATGATTCCAATCAAATCAACTCTGATTCATTTTCCTAACACACTTAGACACATAATATCCATTTGACAGCATTTTTAAGTGTGTGTCAGTATTTGTCTATGTGTGTGAGTGTGCCTATCAAGAAGAGATTAAATTGGAAATAACTAGAATTATCTATAAACAATATTATGAGGCTACTAAAATAAATTTAAAAAAAAGTGAAAAGATAAATTTTATTACAGGAAAGAGTTTTTGAAAGAATCAATAAACCAACCTCATTAGGATGATCATGTAAATGATGCAGTTTTGTCAACTGAAATCAACCTTGAACAAGATGAGTAGTTCAGCACATCTACAAGGAACTTAGGAAATAAGAATACATATCTAGCTCCCAGAAGGGATTGAGGGTCTGCTCAGTATGATGTTTTCGCCTCAGACAATACACACAAACCTCTTGTTATCTACTTAAAATTAAGAAATCATGTTGAAAACAATATGAAGCCCATAAGAGCACACATTTCCGAAGGGGAAAAATGTGTTTCCTTGTACACTGTTCTGCACTTTGTTATAAAGCGCTACCTTGCTTCAAAAAGCCATTGATAAATACCCAAGTTTAAAAGGACAACTTACCATACTGTGGGCAAAGCGAGAGCATTTCAAATGAATGAGGAAGCATGCATGATCAAGTTTCAATTTAAAAGAAAAATTAAAACAGAAAAAAAATCTCCAAGTGCAAATTGCTTTGAAATGACCTTTTCGTATTGACTCTGTCTCCAAACAGTTATTTTCATGGGGCACTGCTTATTATGCACTTAAAATTGATCTATAAATTTTGAAAAGCAAGCATATAATTGCAACCATATGTAAACAACGTAGTAAGCTATGTCCTTAGAGATGACAAATGTTTTTCTGAGAAGTTCATGTGGCTGAACCCATTTTCAAAGAATTTTTAAATGGAAGTTTAAAGCTTGCCAGGACAAGTCTCTTCTAAGATTTTTATATTTTAATTCTGTACAGCAAACAAGGATAGAAATAACTTCACAACAGCAAGCCACAGTGGTAGACAGACAACAATCCTACAATGGATGCTAGCAGGCCATCGGTTGTGCCAACCATAATAAAACTTCTGAGCATGAGTTGAATATGAGACATTGTGCCAAAATTCACACTCTGCGCATTAAGTATGTATACCCAATAAAGTAGTGCATTAAATCTTTCATCATTGCTTGAAAGTCTTTGAAATTCAGAGAAGAAAGAAATAAAACTTGAAGTGAAATAATTTCCAAAAATTAACAAAATAAAAGTTAACTTCTAATCAGTGCAGGAAATAGACACACATGATCCAAGAGAAACACAATGCCAACACAAATCACAGGAAAGGCTTACCTTGGCAGGTGCCATTTTTCTCTTCATATCCCGCCTTGCACATGCATTTCCCAATGGGAACCAGCCACTCTCCTTCAGCACTGCAGTGCATTTTGGGAGGATCATCTGTCACAGAATGGTTGACACAGGAACCTGACACCTCTAACAACTGTGAAGAATCAGCTCCAGTGATGGTGTCAGGGAAGACAGCCAAGTGTCTTACCACAGAAGGACATTTCTTATAGTACACACGCACGGAAACCAGAGCAATGCAAGCACCGACATCTTGGAAAGCGAGATAAAATCCCTTTTTACTCAGAGGTCCTACATCTCTGACCTCCGTATTGAGTTTCATGACACGGTCTCCAAGATCTAGTTCTGTAAAGCTCTCATCAGCAGCAATGGTATCAATCTTGATGTATTGATTCTCTTTAACCTTCCTTCCATTCTCATCATCGGATTCAAAATAATACATGTTAAATGTCTCCTTACAAGTGCCCAATCCTCCAGGAAGGCTGTTGCAATCCCTTAGAGTAAATTTGAGTTCAATAAAGATTCTGGAAGCACCTTCATTGGATATCCAACTTGTCAACAGCCAATTGTTCTGATTCTGTTCCATAACTCTGCATACTTGGTATGTGTGGATAGGGGCATAGTTTTCATCAACTTCGCCGATCTCTTCCCACTGTACAAGAGAAAATAGAGAGGTGTGAGAAAAACTGAAAACTCAAAAAGAAAAACGAAAATAACACACACAAACTCACACACAAAAGAATAAAACGTAATTTGTGGAAAGAAATATATATGCTTTCATACATAACATTGAAATAAGTCATATAAAAAGTTTCGGGAAGGATAGATCTAGAAAATATCATATTGAGTGAGGTAACTCAGACCCATAAAAAATAATATGCACTCGCTCATAAGTGGCTTTTAGATATAAAGCAAAAAAAAAAAAAAAACAGCCTACAATTCACAATCCCAGAGAACCTAGACAACAAAGAGTACCCTAAGAGAGACATACATGGATCTAATCTACAGGAGAAGTGGAAAAAGACAAGATATACTGAATAAATTGGGAGCATGGGGATCATGGGGAAGGGAGAGGAAAGGAGGGTATCAGAGAAAAACATATAGCTCAATAAAAACAATTAAAAATAAGAAAAAAAGTGTGGTAGGTGTAGGTTTATTCCCATTTGCCCTGCAAAGGACTTTCTATATTTTCAGCGCAGAGGCATATATCTCTCTATTCTAGAAATTAACAGCTGTCTATCTTTAAATTTTTCTATCCGCTAATTTTTTTTATTCTCAAGAATTTACTGACTCTTCTTTCTACTTGATTCAGGTCAGAGATCTCTAAAACGTCTTCTTTTGTTTGTCACAGGGGTTTCTAATTGGCTCCTTATCATATGTGTCTCTTAACTTTCAATTATATTTCGCTGTTGTTGGTTTGAGACAGGACCTCATAGTGCAAGTTCATCTGGAACTCACTATGTAGCCCAGGATAGGCTCTCCTGAGATTCTCCTACCTCAGTCTCCTGAGTGCTGAGATTATGGAGTATACCACCATAGCCTGGGACAATTCTACTTAATTCTGTTTTATAATTTCTTGATGTTTTTCTAATAAATTTTATTCTATAATCTCTCTCAGAATCCTATGTCAGATCATGCCATGGGAAGCATACACGATAGAAAATCATGTCAAAATGACTCTCAGGAACTGGGGACCGTGGCTCAGTAGAAGTTTACTTGCCTGGCGTGTGAAAAGATTAGAAATTTTCCTCAAGAACTGAAAAAAGAATTCACCCTTCATTGTTTCCCTTCTGCCCACTCTCCTGAAACAACAGATTTGCCCATTTAAAGCTATGTAGTCCATTTAAAATGTGTGTGTGCGTTTGTGTGTGTGTGTGTGTGTAAAGAGAACCAACTCCCTCAAGCTGCCATCTGATATCCATGTATGTGCCCTAATGCATGCACACACATGTGTGTGAACATGCACACAAATAAAATGTAGCCTAAAATAATTATAAAACATGCATTTTAAGCTAAAAAAAAATGTTTCGGGAGAACAGATTCACAAAAGCATTTTGTTTTTTCTGAATTTTATATTAAGGATTCAATCTGAGGTCTGATATTGCTAAGCATACATTTTCCCACTAAGCTACAATTTATACCCCCATTTGTGTGTACATCATTGGATCAACCCAAAGATGGAAAAATTATGAATGAAAAAAAAATAAAATTTTAGAATAAACATTTTAGGAAAAGATGTATATTTGTTGAACAGAAAGAATGATAGTTCTATGTGTTAAAAATTTGCTCCCCAGCTACATAGCTATTTAGAAGATACTGGTACAGTGAACAGTTAGAGGTATAACTAGGGGCAACAATATTATTTTGATAAAGAAACATAGCAAAAAACTTGATTACTACTGACATATTGATATACCCATAGACAAGTACACCACTCTACCCTCATTAGAGAAGCATCTTGCGGTAGATGGCAATTAACACAGAGACCAACAGCTGCACAATGTGTAGAGATTGAGAGATTTTAGAGCACTCTGTGCTATATAGGCTTTTTGTCTGTTAGTTTGTTTTTGTTTATTTTTATCAAACCGTTTCCCTCAAGGGTATGTAGAGTAGGGGACAAAAAGATTATAAGACCCAGAGGTGGTGCATGACTCTTAAGAAACAGTGTCTTCCATACACAATAGGACTGATCCACTTATGAACTTACAGAGACTGTGACTGCACACAAGACCTGCACAGGTTCAAAGCAGACAAAATCCCAGTGCTGAGAAGAAGCTGGCACAAAGACACACCCACAGCCAAAAAAGTATTCACTGCCACTACCTGCTGGGAAGGAAAGACCTGTTTTTTCCAATGGAGTATCACATTCTGAGGATAGGCCCTATGCCCAGATAGTAATTGACCAAAACAAAAGAGACCCTATATTTAGTAGGGGTTGGCTTTTTTGCTTCATTTTGTTTGTGTATTTTTGTCTTATTTTGTTTTTATTTGTTTTTGATTGCTGATTGCAGATTTTTTTTGAGAGGGAGAAATATCAATTAAAAGGAAAGTGAGAAATAAGAAGGAACTGGTTGGAGTTGGGGGAGAGGAAGATAAAATGCTCAAAATATATCGTATGAAAAAAAAGTAGAAAGAAAACAAAATAGTTGAGGCCTGGAGAGATATCATTAATTCTTTTCACAGTTTTCTTCCAAGAGAATGAGAGGAACTAGTATTTTCTTTTCCTCTGGTGTATTCTGGTCAAGTAAGCAGTTTTTGTCTGCTGCACACCCTTGCCAGTATTGCTGGTCAGTCTCAGAGCAGTGAGACTCAATTGATCAAAGACCAAATTCATTACAACTTTAAACTGGGATTTAACATTTTGTTCTGTGATTTAACTACAGCAGGTATTTGTTTTAGTAGCTGAAAGGAAATAAGGCAAATAAAGTTTAGCTGGAATAAAAAAAGCATAATTTAAAAAAGAATGAGAACAGAGAACAGCAAGCACATGAAAGAAAGCTATTACATTTAAGAACAGCAATTTATTTCATATTATCATCTTGCAAATCACATATCAATGTAATAAAATTTGAAAGTAAATCTATTAACTCCAAATTAAAATTAAATATTTAATCCTATTTATTGACTCCAAAAACATATCTTAGACAAAGAGGACTTAAAAATAACTTATCCCCACCAAAATACTCCCACGTTTAGAATATCAAGATACCAGATTCCAGAACAGCACATCACAGACATTCATTGCTTGAACACATCAGTTGAAATTAAGAATTTTAAGTTTGTACAGAACCTATTTGAACATAACTCTGCAAACTTAAGTTTTTTTTAATATTCTAGAAGTACAACCAGCAATGAATATTGCTGACTTTCAATAAATAGAGAATATGTAGCTTCAGACATTAGATATTACATATAAACCGAGAAAAATTTATTTCTATGGATGTGAAATTAAAGAAAGCATTGTTTTTTTCATTTTCTTCAGTTGGCAGGAATGTAAAAAAATGTAGAGTCAAATAGATGGAAATATATTTTATACTTCAGATGCCTACCTAAAAATTCTAGCTGCCCTCAGACAGACACATGTAAAAGGCACAAAGGACATAAAACTGCTGAGTGGCAGATTCACAAGAGAAACCCATGGACATCACGATAACAGCTTTCCCAGTGTGTCATCAGCGGGCTGGGTTCTTTCATTCTGTATTATTTATTTTCTGTTTAAAATTAATATCAACTTTGCATAGCCACTGAGTCTACAGCAGCTATTTGGTCATTCTAATAACAATCTGCTTATGTATTAGTCTACAAGCAATTTTAGTTTAGATTCTTTATTATAAATCATCTCTTCATGTCATGATCAATATTTAAAGTAAAAGAACTATAAACAAATAGGTGAACAATAAATTTACCATAATATCAGTTAAATGGTGTGTTTTGTATTAGTAAAAGGGAATATGACATGATAAAGAAAAGGAAATGAAAAATGTTCACCTTCTTTCATGATACAAGCATAATCGTATACTGATACAAGGTTCAGAAGGATGAGGTTACCAAGTAGAGTAATATAAAATACAAGGAGCCTCCGACATCAAAAACCAAGGCAGTCATGGCCATTTTGGAATAAAGAACAAATACTAAATGCAAGCCACACAGAAGTTGACAGGGCAGCTGCATACTCCTGCTTCAGGAGCCAATTTAAAAGCACGTGTATGAATGTCATACTGCTCCAAATTGTTTCAATTAATGGGGAAGAAAATACAATAAATATAATAAAATAATAAATAAAATATAATAAAATCTGTTCTGGTATGATTTTATTTATTCATACTTTTCCAGTATAAAACTGTAGATTTACAATGCATAATTCAATGAACAAAGAGAGAACTTTAAACATTTTGACAAAAAAGATTCCAAGCAGGAACTATCGAGATTTTCCATGCCTGTCCTCAGTTAAACAAATATGTTAAAGAATTAGAAAAAATATTTTGTTTATTTTAGATTCTCTGAAATAATCTCAAATCTGGCAGTTTTGTTCCTCTTAGCATAAGAAATGATCTTCCTGATCTCAGAAAAAGAATAAAAAATAAAAACAGGTATGATGAAGAAACAAAAGAAATAGAATAAAATAAAATGATGAAAATATCATTCATCAAGAACTCAGGAAAGGGGTAGGTAAATTTCAAGTTACTTTTACAAAAGTCATATCAAGGTAATTGGAGTAACTTAATGAAAGCTGTGAAAAAATTTATGTTCAGTGTTTCTGGAAGAATTATGATTCTGTGTTCACTGGATATTAGGAAGTTGGATAAAAGTCTGTCTTTTCAGGTCAGGGCAATTCCCCAAGGTCTATACTCTAAGTCCATGTTCTTCTCTGTAGTTGTTTTCTATGTGTTTGCCTTAAAATTTAAGTTCCTGTTAAACAGATAGCGTCGGTTGGCATGACAGCTCTCCCATGTGCTTATGGCTTTTTAACTTTACCGAGGCTTGGAAACCTCCTACGAAGTTGTATTCTTCACTCACACCTGCTGAGGCCTCTCGTGTCACCCACACTCACCAGGAAACCGATTCACGATTTTATATGTGTGGCACAGATTCATTTCTCTTTCTCCCTAACTATAAGAACGATTTTCTTTGGTCTACTCTGGCTGCCTTCTT